TTACTCAAAAGTAACCCTTAAAAAATGAGTGAAAACGACTGCATATAAGAATATATGAACAATTATTAAAAATATCAGTAATTGTAGTTGTCCACGTTTATTTGAATTTCAAACAGATAATGAAACTTTAATCTATTGCTTAAAACCCTCAAAACAAATTTACAATAAGATGTACTTGATAAAAAAAGCAAAGGTCTAAGAAGAGCAGAGAATTGCAAGAGCACAAGGATAGATTTATAGTCAATTTTTTTTTAAATATCAGTGGTCTTATTGTTTAAATTCATATTCGGGGATGCAATTTAATTTCTAGAATCTATTATTGATCTAGGAATCTAGAAAGCAATTTTTTGGCAAAAAATTGAAAAGTTTATGAGAATAAGGAATCCACAACATAGGATTTTTTCATGACAGCGTCCAAACCCGAAAGCCCTGAAGAGTAAAGGAGTCTTAGGGATAAACAAAAGTTAATGTTCATTCACGTTAACAATATTCAGAAGGAAGAAACAAGTCCAGGAAATCATAGGATCTGCAATAATCCAGTATACAAAGGTTCATACTAGAAAATGAGTTCAAAAAACAATTGAAAATGAATCAGAAATTGGATAAAAATGTTACTTACATGTGTTTAAATGAAAAGATAATTTTAGGTTTAATCATTATAACAATATTATTGAAAAGCGACTTTTGTTTCGTTCCGAGCACCGATGACATTATTAAACGACCCTTGTATAAGGTGACCTACCGATGTACAATATCAGGTGTCCGCTGGCCCCCTACTGATATACAATATGAGGTGACCTCTATTCCCCCTACTGATGTACAATATACGGTGACCTTTGGTCCCCCTTCTGATGTGCAATGTAAAGTGCCTTCTGATCCCCTTACTGATGTACAATAAGGTGACATCTGGTCCCCCTTCTGATGTACAATATCGTTTTTTTTTGAAGTTTTTTTTTTATCTGTAGTTTTATGAAGAGACTTACTTTTACAATTTAAACAATGACTTACTCCATTACTTAAAATGTAAAAGTCAGCTGTCAAATGTAAAAGTAAGTCTCTTCATAAAACTCTATTAGTCCTCCTACTGATGTATAATATAAGCTGACCTCTGGTCCCTTACTGGTCAACAACTGATGTACAATATGAGGTGACCTCTGGTCCCCCTGCTGATGTACAATATAAGGTGTCCTTTGATCTCCTTACTGATGTGCAATATAAGGTGAACTCTGGTCCCCTTCTGATGTTCAATTAGGGGTGACCTCTGGTCCCACTACTGACGCGCAATAAAAAATTGCCTCAGGTCCCCCTAGTGATGTACAATGTGTACGATTTCCTCTGGTCCCCTTTTAATGTACAATGTAAGGTGACCGCTGGTTCCCCTTTTGATGCACAATTTAAAGTGGTCTCTGTTCCCCTTACTGATGTTTGATATAAGGTGATCTCTAGTCCCCTTTCTGGTGTTAAATATAAGGTGACCTCTGGCCCGCCTTTTGATGTACAATATAAAGTGGTCTCTGGTCCCCATACTGATGTACAATATAAGATGTCCTCTGGTTCACCTTCTGATGTTAAATATAAGGTGACCTCTGGTCCCACTTTCTGATGAACAATATAAGGTAGCCTCTGGTCCCCTACCGATGTACAATATAATAATAAGGTGACCTCTGCCCGCCCCCCCCTCAGATGTACTGTATAAGGTGACCCTTGGTCCCCCTGCTGATGTACAATATAAGGTGACCTCTGTTCATCCTACTGATGTTAAATAAAAGGTGACCTCTAGTCCCCTTACTTATGTATAATATAAAGTGACCTCTGAACCCCCTACTTATGTACAATATAAGCTGACCTCTGGTCCTTCTGCTGATGTACAATATTAGGTGTCCTCTGGTCCCCTTATTGATGTTCAGTATAAGGTGACCTCTGATCCCTCTACTGATGTACAGTAAAATATTAGGTTACCACTAGTCTCCGTACTCATGAAAAGTATCGAGTGACCTCTGGTCCCCGTACTGATCGATGTACAATATAAGGTGTCCTCTGGTCACCCTACTGATGTACAATATAAGGTGAACCCTGGTACAACTGATATTGATCAATACAAAGTGACCTCTCATCCCCTTGCTGATGTACAATATAAGGTGACCTCTCGCCTCCTTTCTGGTGTTAAATATAAGGTATCCTACAGATGTACAGTACAATATTAGGTGACCACTATTCCCCATACAACATAAAATGAAGTCTGGTCATCCTTCTGATGTTAAATATAAGGTGACCTCTGGTCTCCCTACTGATGTACAATAAAAGGTGACCTAAGGTACCCCTGCTGATGTACATATGTAACTTCTGGTCATCCTTCTGATGTTTAATCTAAGGTGACCTCTGGTCCCCTTACTTACGTATAACATAAGGTGACCACTGGTCCCCCTACTTTTGTACAATATAAGCTGACCTCTGGTCCTTTTGATGATGAACAATATAAGATGACCTCTGGTCCAACTACTGATGTACAATATTAGGTGTCCTCTAGATCTGGTCTCCTTATTGATGTTCAACATAAGTGACCTCTGATCCCCCTTCTGATGTACAGTACAATATAAGGTGACCACTAGTCTCCATACTCATGAAAAATATCGGGTGACTTCTGGTCCCTGTACTGATGTACAATATAAGGTGTCCTCTGGTACAACTGCTGATGATCAATATAAAGTGACCTCTCATCTCCTTACTGATGTACAATATAAGGTGACCTCTAGTCCCCTTTCTGGTGATAAATATAAGGTATCCTCTGATCCCGCTACAGATGTACAGTACAATATTAGGTGACCACTAATCCCCGTACAATATAAAAAGACGTCTGGTCATCCTTCTGATGTTAAATATAAGGTGACCTCTGATCCTCCTACTGGTGTACAATAAAAGATGACCTAAGGTACCCCTGCTGATGTACATATGTAAATTCTGGTCATCCTTCTGATGTTTAATCTAAGGTGACCTCTGGTCCCCATACTTATGTACAATATCAAGTGACCTCTGGTTCCCCCTACTGATGTTCAATATAAGGTGAACTCTGCTTCTCCTACTGATGTACAATACAAGGTGACCTTTGGTCCCCCTACTGATGTACAATATAAGGTGTCCTCTGGTCCCCCTACTGATGTACAATATAAGGTGTCCTCTGGTTCCCTTATTGGTGTAATTGGTAACCTCTGGCCCCACTACTGATGTACAGTACAATATAAGATTACCACTAGCCCCCGTATTAATGTAAAATATCGCGTGACCTCTGGTCCCCGTAATGATGTACAAAATAAGGTGTCCTCTGGTCCCCCTACTGATGTACATTAAAAGGTGACACCTTTTCCCCCACTGATGTACAATATAAGGTGTTCTGTGGTCCCCCTTCAGATGTATAGTATAAGGTGTCCTCTGGTGCCCCTACTGATATACAAGAGAGGATATTGAAGTACAATATAAGATGACCTCTGGTCCTACTACTCATGTAAAATATAAGGTGTCCTCTGGTCCCGCTATAGATGTATAGTACAATATTTGGTTAGCACTAGTCCTCGTACAATATAAAGTGACGTCTGGTCCTTCTGCTGATGTACAGTACAATATTAGGTGACTAATTGTCCCTGTACAAATGTAAAACATCGGGTGACCTCTTGTCCCCGTATAGATGTACAATATAAGGTGTCCACTGGTCCCCCTACTGATGGATGATAAGGTGTCCCCCTCCCACTGTTGCACAATATAAGGTGCTCTCTAGTCTCCCTACTGATGTACAATATAAGGTTCCTCTGGTCCCTCTACTAATGTACAGTACAATATTAGGTTACCTGTAGTCCCCCTACTGATGCACATTATAGAATGACCTCTGGTCCCCGAAATGATGTACGATATAAGGTTTCCCCGGGTCCCCCTATTATGTGCAATAAAAGATTACCTTTGGAACCATATTGATTTAAAATGTAATGTGACCTATGATCCCTCTGATGATAAATATAAGGTGACAACTGGTCTCCCTAATGATGTTAAATATAAGGTGGCCTCTGGTCCCCCCTACTGATGTACAATGTAAGGTGACCTTTGGTCCCCCTATTGATGTAAAATATTAGGTTACCTCTGGTCACCCTTTATTATTTTCAAGTATTTGCTTATATATATATATATTAGAAAGTAAATCTTTATAAAGTTAAAAATATGATCATTTTAGAGTAAGACAAAGAAAATTGTCTATCATATAAAATTCATTAATATATAAGGTGACCTGAGGTCTCCGTATTGATGATATCGATGAATTTACTTCTGTGCCTTGAATGCCTGAAGAGTTCCTAGAATGTTTAATAACTACGCAAAATGACGAACTATTTGCGGGGGACCCCAGGTCCTAGTTCAGCGTACGTTTTATCCTTCTGCCATTCGAACTAGACTGGTCTACAGGTGTCACCTAAAGCTGGTATACAGAGTAGACCAGACCTCTCACTTTAGGTCACCAGATGATCAGATTACAGGTACCTGGCTTATCACGGTTTACAGGTAGTTTACCTGGACAGAGGAAGAGTTTGGTTTACCTGAGTCAGTGTTTATACCTGTTTTACTTACCATGGCTTCATCCATCTTCCTTCCTATTTGTGCCTTGACCTATTTCCTGTTTTGAGAACTTGTTTATGTTGTGCACTGTATGCCAAGATTTGATAGCAAAAAATAAAGCCAATGAAAAAATTAATAAAGGAAACATTGTATTCAATTTGCAAAGATGGGTACATCTACGAGCATTCATCATGTTCATGTGTTTATCGTTTGTTGTATACACTTTCTGTTTTAAAGAATGCAGTGACCATATCTTTTTCAAATTTGTTTAGAATTGTGTAGTTATAATGTTTGAAATGATTAAATCAGCTTTGCAACAATTAAAGCATAATACCTGGTAATCATAATAAGTGTAGATTATATCACCTGCATCAATTTTAAAATTTTGAGATTTTTTTAATTTACAGGATTGTGAGTTCCATGGCGTGGTCAGGTTCTACTTCCAGGACGGGAATAACGTGGTGACAAAATGTATCCACGTGGCGAGCTCGGCCACCACACAGGAAGTGGTGGATGTCCTGGTGGAGAAGTTCTGGCCCAACATACGCATGTTGACGGCCAACAAATACGCACTCTACGAGGTCCACGCCAATGGGGGTAAGGAAAATTGAGAAAACTTGTGTAGGCTATGTTATCATGGTTATTTATCTAGTGCATTGTGAAAGTGGAATTGATGTATGTATTAAAATATTTCTAAACATGCTAAACTTTGATCTATAGTCATGTTGATTGAGTGAATAGCAAGAGATGAAATCAGTAGAAATGTGTTATAATCTTCTTCATGTCTATAGCAGAGTGTACATGTATTGGAATCATTCTGCATTCCATTTTACCTCTTCCTGTGTCTCTATTGTAAGATAATATAATACACTAAACACAGAACTTCATCTAAGTCTTTCTGACTTTTTAAATATTGTCCAGCAATTTGTTAATTTACAGCTGACATTGCATTCTTTGAATTTAAACATTCCAACTATTTTTTGGTCTGCACAGTTTAGAATGGTGTAGTATTTTTGTTTAACATTTTTTGAACAATATAAAAAGATATATATCAGTTACGCACATCTTTTGACATTTAACAAATTTAACGATGGCATTTGGTCATTGTGTTCGTTTATTATTATTTTAAGATACAGTCCAATTCTTTATGCCACAGAGCAATTTCACACTTGGAGCAGAGCCATTAGCATGATTAGGAACAATGTACATTATTCAGTTTAAAAATGGGTACTTTGTTTTCATAAGGGGTTGGGGATATTTGAAATGTCGTAGACACAGGCATCTGTAATGAGTCTATATGATTTTAGCGTAATTTGTCACAGGCAAAAACTTTCCTCACCACACACCTACACACACCTTGTGTTTCAATTTCTTTTTTATCATTTGGGGTTACATTTGAAGCATTCTTGCATATTTATAACCAACAACAGGAAATCTGATCTCCCATGTATCAGATTCTTGCAGTCATGCATTTAGTTTTGATACAGACTTTAATTATAACAGATAAATGTATGGACTTAAACATGTTAAAGTGCCTGTGACCCTGCTTACTTCTGGGGTTTTTGACCTTAACTTGATCACCCTGAAAGGTCAGCATGATCAGGTATAATTCCTAGTTCCTGTCAAATTCTAAGGAAAAGGGTCCATCAGAGCCTGCATGTAACATGGAGAGCAGACAGATTTTCCACCATGTTTCAACCCATCACCATCAATTAGCCCACTCTCCATCAATCAGAGCCATGCAGTTTCAATAAGTCCAGACCATCATAGCCTCATCACCTCACGTACCACTATCTTACAAGCTAGACATTCTTCCCTTCACAGCCCGTAATCACATGCCCATCACCATCACAGCCCATCACCATCTCAGCCCACTTATCTTCAGTGCCACTTTATCCTAGACTATACACTTTTTCCATCAGCATCCCTACTCAGTCTTTATCAGAGCCACTATCTTACAGACTGGACAATCTTTAGAGGTTATTATCAACTTGTACATGTACCACTGTCTACAGCTGGCTTGGATTTCTCGAAAAAATCTTAAGTTAAATCTCAGACTTAAGTCTGAGTTTTTACTCAAATTTCAGAGAAAAATCTCAAATTTGAGAAAACTCAAAATATTGAATTTCTCGAAAAAACTTAAGTTCTTTTTCTTACTCAAACTCAGACTAAACTTAAGTTACCTTCTTAGTAGACTTAAGTCCTTTAATAAAATCTCCTATATGCCGGTGAAAAACAGACGGCAGCGTCGTAGACGTCGGCATAGGCAGAGAGTCGCACACAACAGGCTTGTTGACCGTGAAAACCCTTTAGAATTAATGCCAGAGGAGGAGATTTTCAAAAGATACCGTTCCGCCCGGCCACAATTTTGTTTATAGTGAATTTACTTAGGCAATCCCTTGAGAGAGATACTCTGCGAAGCTGTGCCCTCACCCCCCTTTTGCAAGTTTTGGCCACGCTAAGATTTCTCGCCACAGGAGGTTTTTATTCCTTAGTGGCTGATACATTTGACAGCCTGTCCCCATC